GAGTTTAATATAAATTATAAAATAAGAATAATGTATTAATGATCAATGCGATTCAATTGAAAGTAGCTTTCAACTGGATATATACCTTTCACTCAATGGTTAACAGAAACAGAAGTACTGCCACTGACTTGGGATCACATTATAGTGACAAAGACTCATCAATGGTAGCACAGATGCTAGTTTCTTCTAATTTATGTTCCAAATTAGAAGGTGGAGTGTTTGCCAACTCTATTGTGACAACATTTACGTTGCATGATCTTACACAAGAAAAAGTGTTTCACCCCATAAAAAAGTCTAACAGCGAGCAAGATTGTTCTAAAACTCTAAATTCTTCCCATGTAGGAATGAAGGGAGAGATTTTCAGGCCAGATGAAGAGTCTTGGCAACTAAAAACAAGCTTCGATCAGGCAATGCATATTTTGGTAATTCAAATTCTTATCCTTTTTCATCCACAGCATTGCATTCAAACCCTGAAACTGTTGCCATTGTTTTACAAATTCCATTTCAAAGATAGAGCTTGAAATACAAAAGAAGGGGTAGAATAAATGCTGAAGCATATCCCAAACTAAGTGAACTCTCTTCAGCAGTAGAATAGGTGAAGGTGGTACTACCAACTAGCAACCATGATTTTCCAAGTGTTGAGAGTCAGGGTCCCTCATCAATACTAGATAGATGGAAACATGGTGGAGGTTGTGATTGTGGTGGGTGGGGCATGGCCTGTCCCCTTATTCTTTTAGGCAATCCCAGTGTTCAATTTACTGAAGATCGACCTCTTATGGAGGAATGTCAAACGCTGGAACTTTTCACTCAGGTAAACCTTGAATTTCACACAAATGGATGTATATAGGAAAAATAGTCATACATTTAGTTTTCCTTTTATGTACTATTTATTTTGGTGATTTAATCTTTGTATAATGAAGATATATGCATCTACAATAGGATAAAAAGAAAAAAGATACTGACTCTACATTGCACATCGAACTAATTTCATGAGACATGCATCTCCATAAGATGTCAAATAAATGTTGCCATTCCAATTGGAGCTTTCTGTTGCATTGAGTACTGCAGTTATAGCATTCTTCATTTATGAGATTTTGATTGTCTTTTTCTAGTACTTATATCTCATTCTGGATGCATAGGGTGCCAAGGAGAGAACTCCAACCTTTGGCATGACTATGGTTGAAGAGGGGCAATATGCAGTTGATTTCCATGCACAATTATGCCCATTACAAGCTTTCTCCATTTGTGTGGCCATTTTACATGGTGCGGGGCAGGAGAAAAAACAACAGATATCTCGATGCAATTCATTGAAAATGCTTCTTGAGGAGGAGGTAGAGTTATTTATCAACTCAGTCACGAAAGAAGAGAATAGGACTGTGCCAAAGATTCAGAAGGGAATTAATCTACCCTATGTGCTAAACCCACCTTTTTCTCCTATTGCACGAGTATAAAGTGTAGTGTCCATACTTTGTAACACCAAATAGAACAGAATTTTGTCTATATTGTAATTGGATAATCTTAGGGAAAGGGACAAAAGAGATTATAGGAAATGATTTTATTCTGAATTCCAGTCCTTTCTGTATGTAAACATTAAAATATGATATTGGATGTCCATTAAAAAGAACCCTATATTTCTTTTCTATTCTTTTACATT